GAATAGTACATTGAGGCACCCAGTGCTACACAAAATTGTGAATTCAATGAAGTTTGTTTATTTAGGTTGTTTTTGAGAAAAGAGGTACAAAAGGGAAAGGATGATTGGATCTCTCCCTTCAGTTCTAACTCTTTCTTCTTAACAACTCTTACATTTTTCTGTCTGCTTTCTGCCCTTACTTTTTCTCATATTCAAGGCACTTCCATATTGTTCTAGGCCTTTTCTTCCAAGTAAAGCAGTCTCTGATTCAGACCTATCTTTCCACCTTACCCTATCCTATAATATATACAGCAATACAGCTGTCTATCTAATGCCAAAACTGGTTTTATAACCAACTAACATCACATCTTAAATATGCCTAAATGATACTTCATGTCAAAAAGAGTTCATATTTTTCTTTGAATTTGAATTATTTTCCATTGAAATAATTGTTTTTAATAGTTAAATTTTCAAAAAGATAAAACATTTCTTAAATACAACACTTTAAAAAATTCCTGTGGTTTTCATCTTAAATTCAAAGGGGAAAAGATAAAATAATAGCTTAATAAAAAATGTGAAGACTGGGCAATACTTTAGTTTTTTGGTAATTTATTTTTTATATCCATCCTATGGAAATCACCATTTTTCAGATTCTAAAATCCATTCCATTAGCATGGTCTGGTGGACTATGTCTACTATATACACTCTTTGTTTTAAAAGCAAAAGTTTCAAGGCACATTGTAGAACTCTTAACTTTCCTTTTAAAAGCAGTAGCCTTATGAGTAAATACTGACCTAACTGTAGGAAAATTTGAATTTCCCTACTGCCTTTTCCCACTGAGTTGCTAGGAATATAGTAAACACTTCATACTTGTTTATTTGATTCATTGTGACCTTGTTTACCTTTCTGCATGCTTCAGATTCTTAAATTGCAAGTTGGAAGAATCATTCCTAGACTGCTCTTACTGGGTGGTAGTTTTAATGTCTAATATTTTTAACTATTTTAGAAAAGTAGACTATCACATGAGAAATACATGTTCATTTTATAAAAAGAAAACTAATCTCTGTCAGTAGGCTTATTTCCTCAGGGTGCCAGAAACTTATGGCCACTTAAGCAAGGCCATGGAGTCATTATCTACAGCATAAATCGATTATTTATTGGTTAATTTTTTTCTCCTCATAGTTAGAATATAATTTTATCATCATCCACTTTCCCCTAACCAAAAGGAAATTTTTGAATTGCTTTTAAACTACAGTAGCATCAACAACACTAACTGTAATGCAGCGTAACTTTACAGTTACCCAGTCACATTTTTTTCCATCTTTCTGATTAAAAATCTTTAAATTACATTAGTCTTTCTTTTGTTATTGGCATCCATTACTTTGAATTAATAATTATATAAACATAACATTTAATCATAATGAAAGCTAGCGTTTATGAATGCCTACTACTTGGTGAAGAATTAAGAATTAAGAATTAAGGGTCAGTATTAAACTTATTTGAGGATGAAAATGTGAATTTTGATAGTGAAACAGAGCTGATAATGTTACTGTGAATTTGTTGGAATGTTGTGTAATTGTCTGTGTTGCATAATTTCCCATGGTGAGATAATGCATTTGTGGTTTTTGATAAATGTTTGGCAGCTCTTTGTTTCCCTGCACTTAGGTTTATATTAGTCTTCATTTTCATCAAGTATCATTAAACTTGCATTTGTGTATTCTTATTCATTTGAATTAATCTGAATCTTCTTAAATGGTGAGATACCATTGTTTCTTGTAGATATAGTGATTTGAGATCTAAATTATGCAAGAATGCATGTGTTTTTAAAGAGAGATTACTTCTTTTTGTATCATAGAACAAATTTTTAATTTCTGCCATTAAAAATATTGTGTTTATTGTGTTATATAAATGAAATGGTTATTCTAAGAATGTAAAGTCTAACGTATCTAAAGGGATTACAATTAAAAAGCTTTTTGTTTTTTAAAATATTCAAACATGTCTATTAAATCCTGGAGATTGGACAAATAATGAAGAAGCTCTAGAAGAAACTGGAAATTTCAGTTAAAACTTGGTTTTTTCTTTCTAGAAATCAATAAAAGACTTTATAATAGTAACATGAATTTAGAATTCAGAATAAATACTGCTTATGACGTCAAATCTTGTGAGTTATCAGCATTCAAAAAAGATAAACACATGCAATTTGCAGCAACATGGATGGCGCTGGAAGGGATCATGCTCAGTGAAATAAGCCAGAAAGAAAAAGAAAAATACCGGATGGTCTCATTCATAGCAGGAATCTAGAAAACTTAAATAAGGGACCAGGAAAATGAATAACTATAAGAAAGTGAAAATCAAAATCAACAAAAAACTATGAACCAGAGACACTTTTTGGGGGATGGGGGGCGGGAGGGGAGGGATTGGGGTCAGAATAGGGGGGTTGCAATTGTATGGGGAATATAAAAATAAAATTTATAAAAAAAAAAAAAGGATGAGCAAGAAAAAAAAAATCTTGTGAGTTTTCAAATGGAAATTTAATCTGTATTTTTCTTAAAGCAATAGCTTCAGGTTTTGTGTTTAGTCCTTTTCTCTCCATTTTTTTTTGACTAGTAAGTTTTTAAAGTTGAATGGTACCCATTTTAAAGTTGATAAAGTACCCATCTTTCTTCAGAAAGTTTCTTTTTAAGATTTAGAGCATTTTTATAATATGTAAAGAACATTAATTATGCTCTAGTGAAGTGAGAGGGTCATGGAACTATTTCTCAGTGAGCCTTATCTAACCATGAAGGTAATTTATGCCTCTCCATATCCAGCACATCCGACCTGAAGATTGAAAAGTTGCCTCTTTCTTCTGTAGTTTTATTTCATACAAAATAGACAGTGCTTAAGTGTTTATTTCCATTATCTTAAAGATACAAAATTATTTATAGGCTATTTTGTAGTGAATATTCTTATTTTTATACTACAGAAAAACTACTTGTGATTTTCTTCATGGCATTCAGTAATTATATTAAAATATACAATGAATATGTTTGCAGTCTCATTATGAAATGTCATCTATATGCTACTTCTGGCAAAGAGATTTTGTGTGGTTGATTTAAGAACTTTACATGCCAGTGATATAAAAATGTGAGCACCAACAGACTTCCACAGAAATAAAACTATGTTTTACTTAGTTGGAGAAGTAAATATTTTATTGGTAAGGATATTATTTAGAAAGAAAAATTTCCTAAATGATTCTACATTTAGCTAGAATTTCATATTTATGTGTGATGATATATTTATGTTTGCTTTTTGTCAGTATAACCTCAGGTAATAAAATAGTATTATGTCATTTTTTTCTTAAACCAAGGCATATCAGGGCCTCCCCGGTGGCGCAGCGGTTGAGCGCTGGGTTGCGAAGCTGCCCGCGGCCTCTGCGGCGTCGGTTCGATCCCCGGCTGCTCCCCGGCCACCAGAGGAGGGTCCCACATGGCACGCAGACCTCTCCTGCCGCCCGCTGCTCCCCTCAGCAGTGTACTTCGGTCATTCTGCCTGCTCTGCTCCCCGCTCTGACTCTGGTGAATTCTCTCACCCTCCCGCGCTTCTGACTGTACCCAGTGCATGTATAAACAAAACAAACAAACAAACCAGCAAACAAATAAATAAAGCATGCCTCTATTAAAAAAAAAAAAAAAAAAATTAAAAAAAAAAATTAAAAAAAAAAAAAAAAAAAAACCAAGGCATATCATAGTCATGCTCTTTAATTTAGTAGTTGACTAGAACTTGTGATGTAGATAAGATTTCTTTGTGTTTTTTATTTTATGTGCAAAATATTGTAGTAAATAACTTCTATTGTGTGGGCCAAGTTTATTATGAAAAAATGTTTATTGGATGATACAAATATTTATACTTTCTCTGAAGTTCCTTATACATTTCAAGGCAGCCCTCTATTTTAAATATATTGTAATTATATTGTTTTTTGTTTACTTAGTAAAATGAATCCAACAAGGAACTAAAATTAGTGCTTTGGCTTTAAGTTTTATTAAAGAAAAATATCTATAATTTTATAACTACCAAGATCCTCATATTAAAAAAAAACCCAGTTGACAATTCTATGATAAATTTGTATGTAATAAAATTCCTATGAAAACACTTTTTGAAACTATATTGAATTCTTTCTATTGTGTGGATTCCATGGAAACTTTCATTAGATTGTTTTCACTTGTTAGAATACAGAGGATAGCAGAATACTAAGGATAGCTATTAATCTATTTCTAATGAAATTTATAAAAGTATTGAACAGTTGTAAAATTATCGAGTAACACTGTTCTTGACAATGAATATATAATTTCTAATTAGTTTAGCTTTTGACTTAATCTGTAAAGATTTTGTAGGCACCTAATATTTGTTTATATTTTTATCAGATGTATTCAGAGCTTCTGTTTCAACTGCCCTAGAAAAACAAAGCATACTCATTCAGTTGAATTCCTGTAAGGTTTTCCTGATAGTTCAACCAGGAAAAGAATATTTGCTATAGACTCAGAGAAACAAATTTTACATTTGATTTTGCGGGAAAATCATTTTATGCTTTACTTGGAAGGAATAGAAATATGTAGATAAGAGTTAATATACATTGAAAATCTTGAAGAGTTAATTCAATATAAATGTAAAGAAGTTTATATGATTTATTTGAAGTTTCTAAATTCTTTTTACAGATATGTTGCATTTATTTATAATAATTTCTTAGTCCTTTCCTTCTAGAATGTTGATGTAAAGTATCTTAGAGCTCATTCGGTTACATAATATTGCTTTACTTTGGAAGCATTCTACATTAAGACATGAATACAGAACTTTTTGTTGTTGTTCTTGAGATGTAGAGAGGAGGAGAGAGACTTATCTGTGGAATGGATTTGAAACAAAGCTAATGGACTTGGGTTTGAGTGATTTGGGTAATGAAAGTACAGTGAAACCAACTGAGATCTAACACTTGGTTTCCAAAAAATGGATTACTCACCACTTTTTTTTTTCCCCTTCTGCCACAGGAAACCAGTTTCCTCCAATTGCAGCACAGGACCTTCCTTTTGTTTTAAAGGCAGGCTACCTTGAAAAACGCAGAAAAGGTAAACCATAAGAACCTAAGGAAAAATCTAAAAGTGGTTTTATCATTACATAAAACATGCTTGCTGTATACATGTGGAGCGAATATTCTTTTTAGGTAATCTAAGAATTTTAAAACTTTTAAGAAAATCTGGATGACATTGTGCAAGTCACAAAATATACCTTTTAATACTAAATAATTTTTAATAACAAAACATTTGGTTCAGTTTTTAGTTGTCAATCTCAGTTATTTGTAAGTGATTCAGGAGTTGTTCCTGCCTCTTGTAAGAAGGCTATGAGCCATGTGTGTATTTTCCAGGATGGGGCTTTTCACTGTTATCCCACCTAGCTGAGCATCAGGTTAGGTTAGCCTGCCTCTGACCATGTCTGCTATGGTGCAGATTGAGCCTGGCATATTGTCTGCCATTTTCTATTTTTCATTCAGTGTTCCTCTTCATTGGCTATGATAATTGGGAGTTGACCATATGGTCTTACTCTTTCAACACCAATGTATAAGGACAATGAAATATGGAGGTTGTGCTGTGATATGGAAAATGGAAAGCAAAATCTCTTCATTACTATTCTACTTATCTCATAGGTAGTCCCTCAGTGCCCTTCTGTTTATATTCTGTTTACTGTTCTTAGCTTTCTTAGCTGAATTTCAAAGCTGAGAGACATAATAGAAATCATCTAGGTCAGCTCCTCCTCTGCTTTTATAACAGATGAGAAACTGAAGCAATTATCTCAAGACTGTGTCATCAGTGCCTTTTTGGCTGTCCTGTCAGGAAAGTTTTTTGGCCATGCAGTTGATCCCATAAATGTAGCAACCTCATCTCTGCTTCACATTCTTTCTTTTAGCATCGTATTTTGTTCTATTTTTGTTTGTTTGTTTGTATTTGTCTCTTGGAAAGAAAGATAACAATCAGCCATAGACTTTTAGAGCTTAGAAATCGTATTAATTACTTTTCCTTTTAGAGTAAGGAAATGGCCTTACAATGATATCTGTGATATATATTAATATTATATAAATTGTTCTCTCCCCCCGCCCCATTTTTGTAGATCACAGCTTTCTGGGATTTGAATGGCAGAAACGGTGGTGTGCGCTCAGTAAAACAGTATTCTATTATTATGGAAGTGACAAAGGTAGTATTATTATTCCATTATATTAACTTCTATTGCATGGTTGGGAGGCCATTTCCCCACCCCGTTATTATTGGTACAGGGTAAACTGAAGACAAATGAAAAGAAATAACTGAGAATTTTGATTATTATAGTCTAAGACTACTTTATAATTATTTCATTATTTGACAAGTGCTCTGGATTCCAGAATACCCTAAAAGTTAATACAATTGTGTTTCTTTGAGTTAAGAAAATGAAATAACTTTCATCTGTGTGGCCTCTCACCTCAGGAAATATTTATCATCCAGGCTATAGTTGTAGAATTTGCAGAAAAGTAAGTCTATTAGGATTGTGAGTGTTTTGAAGGGAGGAAAGATACCTTTTTCCAAGTACTTTAAAAGAAAAATTTACATAAAATTAAATATATGCAACACGTGTCTCAGCTTCTTTTACAGATTAAAATAACAGCAGCAAACTCCTGCATAGAACTTACTTTTCTAAGCACCGTAGTTATATCTAGTCATTTTAGTAACATGAACTCATCTAACTCACTACAACTCTGAGGTTGGTGCTATCATTAGCCTCATTCATTTTATTGTTTGGAAAGTAAGGACAGAGAGCTAAGCTTTCCAAACAAGTCCCAAATTCCAGAGCCAGTAATGGAGATTTGGGATTTGAATCTAAGCAATATGGAGAGAGCCTGTGCTCTTAGCTCTGATTTGTCACTGTATTAGTTTACAAATAATAAGATACATTTTTAAAAAGATTTATTTTATTTATACAAGAACCGGGGTACAGGCCAAATGTGGGGGAGTGTGAGGGGGTTCACCAGAGACAGAGTGGGGAACAGAACAGGCAGACTGATGAAATACACTGCTAAGGGAAGCAGCGGGTGAGGCAGGAGAGGTCTGCTCGCCATGTGGGTTGCTTCATGGCTGGCGGGGATCGAACCAGTGCAGAGGCTGCGGACAGCTTCATAGCGCTGCGCTCAACCACCTGCACCACCAGGGAGGCCCAAGATACATTTTGTAATTTCATTTGCTAATTAATAAATCTGCTATTCATAGTTCATATATTTTTAAGTTCATTATTTGAAGAAATAAAATCAGAGAAGACTGAAATTTAAAGAATATAGGCTTTCTTACTTTTGCTTTTTTCCCTAGGAAAAATAGATTAGAAGTTAAATATTATATAGTGAGGGCTATATAGAAATAAGTTTACTTTCAATTCTAGAAAGACACTTGGAGGAGAGCAAGACATGAAAGTTCAATATCACTATCAACTGTTTTTTATAAACAATAACCTTTTTATTTTACTGTTTCTTATCAGCGTTTGGACATTTACGTTTCATTTGACATAATTTGCAGTTTTTGGGTTTTTTCTCATTACAGAAACAGGCAAATAAGATTGTATTTTAGATAATTTGAACTATGTTCTTGATGCTAGAAGTTCTCACTTTGGTTAATGGCATCAACAAATTAAGAATTAATTTAGTGGCTAATTTGCATTCTGTCACTAACTTACAATATATTCAAGTGTGATAATGGCATCAGTGAAATGTAAACTATAAGCAATTGTCAGTAAATAGCCTTCTGCCTTTTGCTAAGGGTAATAGGTGATTTTGTCGGGAAATTTAGAGTCCAACTTCAGTTTTGCTCATCACAGGTTGTAAACATGTGTTGATGTAAACACGTGTTGCAATTAAAGAAATAGAACTTGTGCAATATTGTGAATTTAGGAAGATTTTACTTTTCCCAAAAGATGTATCCTCTATTTTACAAGAGTAGCAGAAAGAGGATTCAAATCTTCCTGACTTTGATTTAATCAGACTTCTCATTTCTAATTTCTTTTGAGAGTGATGAGAAAAGACATTATGTCTTTTCTCCATTCCTAATTATAACTGATATACACCAATTGGTAGGTCAGAGTTTTCCCAAAACCTAAGAAATATTTGCATTTATTTCAAAAGCTAATATTCTATGAATAAATTCTAGTTAGTTTTTTATATTAGTTAAATTCCCATTTCTATCATTTGATGAGCTTTTATGGTAATAACATCTTTTTATAATGTATTTTAACTACTTTGATTCATAAACTACCAATGCTTTTTAAAAATTGCTATTTTAGCATTTCCTTTTCATCTGGATATTTGAAAATATGGTTTCTATTTCCTTAAATTCTTCCTTGTCTCTTACTGTGAAGCCTCCTGTTTCCACTGAGATTTCAGATCTATTTTTAGTGATTTTTTTTCTCTTTTGGCTGTTTCCTATGGAATTCTTGGCCAGTTCTTTTCCTTTTAGGAATTATGGGGGTAGGGGGGAGTGTGTGGAATCAATCAGACAGTTTTTAATTGCTTGTTTGGCATAATCTTAATTTCCTTCCTTTGTGTTTTTTTCCAGGATAATATAGGTGTTACATGAAATTTTTATTTTCTTTATGAAATCAGATACCTAATTTGTACAGTATGTGTGAGCCATTTACCTAAACTTTGGAAAGAGCTATTTAGATAGATGAGAACTATAATCCTTCAACTAAGTAGGATTTAGATAAATGGATTATAGAGGCACAGAAGGAGTTGATACCACTTACTAGGTTAAATTGTACTTTGTTACTATTTGACAGATACATAGGTCACATTTTCTACCTTATTGTGTATGCCAAAAAACATATTGACCCATCAAGATAGTAATGGCTTAGAAAGAGTAGTTCTAGTCTCTAGGGTAAATAATGCACTTACCTTTGTACCCATAAATATTATCTATATTTATTATTCATGGCCATTTGGGTCCTTAAGTAATATATATATAGAGAGAGTACATATTTTATTGCTTTATGAAATCATATCCATCCTTTTATCTCCTTCCTCTTCCTTTCATTGTCACAAATCCCATTCATCAAGCATCTTAGGTTTGAGTTGCTCAGACTGAATGATTAAGGCAATAATTCATACACTCACTCATTTATTCATTTTTTTATTTGATAAACATATATTGGATACTTGGTGGATATTAGGCACTGGGGATAGAGATAATCCTGCCTTAGAGTTATTTGCCGTAGAGTTATTTGCAGTTTGAGTTGTATATCAACAAGAGGAAGTCAGGAGAATCCTAGGTGGGAGCTGAACAGGTAAACTGATAATTTCAATGCAGAGTAGAAAGTTATTTAAATATCTTTGGAGCACAATTTCCTAGGGGATTTAGGAGATACTCCTAGTGGAGAGGACCCTTCATTGGACCATAAAGAATGAGGAGGAATTTTTCATTCATTACTACACTATTTACAGTAGACAAGCTGTGGGAAAAACCTAAGTTTCCAGGGATAGATGAGTGGATTAAGAAGCACTGTATTTACACAATGGAATACTAAATTCCTGACAATATGGATGGAACTGGAGGGAATGATGCTAAGTGAAATAAGTCAGAAGGAGAAAGACAAATATTAGATGATTTCACTCAGATGTGGAATATAAAGAAACAAAGGTATAGACAAAAATAAACCAAAACAAACCCTAGAAACATTACTGCAGGTTGGAGGGAAAAGGTAGAGGAGGGAGGAGGGGCAGTGGACAGTGATGGAGGATTATGGGTGTCTTGGAGATGGATGCCTTGGTAATGGGTGGTGGTGGGTGTGCCTTGAAGATTTTTATGGCTGCCTTGGTGGTGGGTGTAAAATACTCCTGAAAAGATGTGAACCTACAGTTATCTCTATATTATATACAATATTATAGACCAGTGTTACCTCAATAAAAAAAAAATTTAAAAACTAAAATAAAATTATAGGTTCAGGGGTCTCCCTGATGGTTCAAGATGTTAAGTCTCAGCACTGTGAAGCTATCCATACCCACTGCAGCATGAGTTCAATCCCCAGCCAGGGAGGTGACCCACATGGCACAGCAGACCTCTCCTGTCTTGCCTGCTGCTCCCCTCAGCAGTGTATTTCAGTGAATCCGCCTGTTCTGCTCCCCACTCTGTCTCTGGTGAATCCTCTCACCCCCCCCCCCATACCTCTGGCATGCACCCCAGCTGTTGTATGCATAAATAAATAAATCTTAAAAAAATTATAGGCTCAAATAAAAAAAATGAGTAGGAGATTGTAGATGAAAAAGGGTAAAGTGGACACTTAGGCAGGGGAACAACAGAGATTCTGAATTTTGAAAAGGCCTCGATGACATCAAAGTTGGAATCAAGTATAGCATTCTTCAGTGAGGGAAGGGTGCACATCATGCTAAAGTGGATTATGATCAGATTGATAAAAGTCTTATGAGAACAAGGCCCTTGCTAAGGACTTTATCCTAATATGGCCTTTAAGCTCAGGGCTCTGATCTGATTCAGTTTTTAGGTAGTTACTGTGGTAATAATATTGTCGAAGATGAATTGGAATGGATAGAGACTGGGTCAACAGGATCATTTAGGAGGACATTGAACTAGCGTAGGCAAGAGAGATCATCAAAGGGCTGCCGAGAGGCAGAGCCAGGATTTAATGCAGACCTCTCTGACTCCAAAGTCATGTTTTTTCCACAAATTGGTTGCTATCACCCCCTCCAACATGCCTGTAAATGATGGCCCATTTCAGAACCTGTTTTACACTCAAGGTTTTTCTTTTTCTGTTTAACCTCCATATGATCTTGAATTAACATATGAACCTTATCCCTTTGCACTTTTGAGGGAGGAGAGTGTTTTCAGTATCTATCTACTTTCCACTTATGGGTTTTTGCAGTGTAACCCCCATAACCTATGCCATACTAGTGTCATCATATGTGACAGCTGCAGATAACCTGGGTTCCACTGAGTCTAATCATATATCAAAAGTCATTTAGTGCACGTGGTTGTAGTATTTTCACTATAATATCCTTTCCATATATAATAAAAATCAGTAGAAAATTGGGTTTAATACAGATAATTTAATATAATAAAATTTTCAGGTTAGCAGAGAAATAAAATTTTTATTGTAATTGACCTCTCCTCTTGCTCACATACCCTACAACTTCTCCATGGATAGGGGGAAAGTAACATCTGTTCAGTTTG